AAATTTGGGGACCAGAATTTATCCACCAAGAGATTTAATTCCACTGAAGGGTAAATTAAGGTGGATTTGTAATGTCTTTGTTTAGCCTAAAAAATTAAATATATTGAAAAAGTTGAAAGCAGATTTAATTTTAAAGAAAAGTAAGGTCATTATATAAACAGCAGCAGATCTCATCCAGAATATGTCACATAAATATCATACTATCAAACAAGAAATGTAAATTATCATACATACTCTGTAATTGAAAAGTGTATTATACATTAGGGAAGTCACCCATTTATCTAATCATAATCAGTTCCAATAAAATCTCATTTAGGAAAGTTGAATGTAGTTCAGGGTGGATGGTTATGAGGATATCACTCATGTGAATATGCACCGAAACAGTTTTGAAAGATAGTTTGTATACATAGAAATCCAATTATTGCCTACCTCATCTGAAAGGAACTTTTTCTCATAAGGGCTAAAACTGTGGCATTCAGAACTACCATAAAAGTAAAGCAAGTATACTGAGCAATGGCTTTAAATGTTTTTTAAAAAATGTGTACTCCAACATGACATTTGCAAAAGTCAGTACATTAAAACACCATGTTATTCTTGTAAGAGAGGCTTTAAAAGCAGAGAAAAAACCTGATATATCATTTGAAAGTTCTGATGATTTACAACAGACTGGATCCAAACCTCTCCTGACTGGTTATAAATCCAACCTTTCAGCAGTAGCAGTTCTAATCTACCAAACATTTCCAAGTCTGTTGTAAAAGGTGCTGAAGTGCAACAATTTTCTACCTCTGCTACTCTTCTGCTGTAGCGTTTTAGGTAAAAAAGTCTCCAGACAGGAGAAATAAGTGATTTTATTGAGCTTATTGACATAAACCCCAACAAAACAGACTAATTTTCCTATTCATAAATTGCAAATGAATTATGGAAACATTTGCTATCTTGATTTCAATAACAATACTGCAGTGCTGGTGACTTAATCCAGCAATAAATTAATCTGAATAGAATGTATGTCATGACTGCAGCAGAAGAAGCAGTTCATGGTGAATATGTGATTTGGTATCATGAGCACTTCTGAAGTTAGCATGATTGTTTCTTTAATTCTGTTTCTCTATTTGTTGTTGAAAGCTACTCATCTAATTACTTCCAATAATTTATCTTAACCTATGGATTATTTATTATACACCTATCACTCTTCCAACATTGCTGCCTCAGCTAGACTGATTTTGTCTCTTCTACATGCTCCAAAATTCAAACTTTCTAAAGAGCTGGTCCGCACTCCATTGTGAATACTCACATGTGTACATATGGATGGCAATGTTTACATGCAGATACACTCAAACCATTTGTGAATGGGCCAAGAGCATAGAGTTACAACCCAAATATCTACAGGTCTTTGCTAAATGGGCTACAAGAAGGTAAAACAAACTTGAGAAAAAGAATAACCATATATCCTCTGGAATTTTTTTGGTACTTACTATGCTCCAAGTACCAGTACCCACCAATAGCCATCAAATACTGTGATTTCACCATATTTCTTATATTGTGATTTGTTTGTTTCTTCAAAATCCAGTGGATTCTGAACAAGGGGCTTCTTCAGAAACCCATGGGGGAAGAAAAAGCTATTTTAACTACCCTGGTTTTGGAGCTGTAGCTAGCCCTGATTTGCTCAGCTAGATGTGCAACCATACATAGATGCAATTTATCCAATTTTAATAATTTAGAGCAGACTAGGGCACTTAGAACATAACCATGATGATCCACAGGAGTGATCAGGATACCTTATTCCCATTTCTGTGTTCTGTTGCAATATTTAAAAGTAGGAGAGAGCTAATTTACAAGTTTACAGTCTGTTTTTATAAGGGAATTACCAAGGAGTTTTCAATCACGTGTAGATGGAAACCAGACTGAACACTATACTTGCAAACATTTCCTGTTTAAATTGACTCTTGACTAGATATTGGCCATCTCCCACCTCTCTGCACCTCTTGAATTCCATGAAATGTGGACACTTCCAAAGTTCCATATGCAGCTCTCATATGCAGAACTCACTGTGGTATCTATCACTCATTTCCATTTCTAAGTAGGCTTGATTGTGACTTGATTGACCTGATCCTAATTATCTGCTGTGCTCACTCTCCAGCCTTGAGACCATCCATGTTGTTGTGACACTGCTGGGAGATGTCCTCTGCAGTCACTCTGTGACCAAACCCACGTGAAGCTGAGAAATGCTGTGTGCCTTCATATATCTCACTTCAGAGATCCATCATCCACTTCTCTCCCCGTAATCCTGCTGTTCTTCCTGCTATTTTCTTCTCAAATTGCAGGAACACAGAGCACAGGTGGAGGAATAACATGCCCAGAATTTACAAATACTGCCTACAAACCCTCTGAATTAACAAGAATTAACAAGAATTAACAAGAGCCTGGGGCTGAGCATAAGGAACTGCCCAGGGAAGTAAGGTACACTCAGATTACACATACACCTGGGAGGATAATTCTTTCTCAACTTCACTGCTTTTAAACTCACCCACCATCACATAATTCTAATGACAAAACACAGCACAAAAAGGAGATCTAGCTCATCTCTCCAGAAGATTACTGTTCTACAAGGGCCAAATAGCACAAAGAACTAGATGGGTTCCCAACACAAATTTTAAGAGAAGCTCAAAGGCTTTTACAGCTGAAGAACTATGTCTAGTGAGATTCAGGAGGTGACAAGGTGCAGGAGGAATGCTACACCCAATATTCTCTACCTAGAATTTCATTCCGTTCTCTGACTGTCCCAACTGCTTTAAGAGATCATCTTCACCTCAGCCTGTAAAAAATAGTGTTATTAATGTACTGGTATGAGGACCAGCTCTTGTAACAATATTTTAAAAATCCACTGCTTAATATTTTGGTATGAATCCTGTAAGATTCAGCTTGACAAATGGTATGAAAGGCCTCACTTGAAAATCTCGTTCACTTTGAGAATTCTAACACCCATTCCCTGGAGAACTTATTTTTTTGCAGTCCCAACAGAATATGTGAACTTTATTTCATTTAAAAAAAATAAATCTACAGTAGAAGAAAAAATCTGTAAAGTTATGCAGAAAGCTAAAACCTGCTTACTCTTCTCCTTCCCAGTTCATATCATCTAGCTTAAACCAGCAGTGAATTATTTTGAAATATGTTGGGCTTTAGCCAGCAGTTTAAATGAATATATGTGATTTAGTTCATATTTTCAGGCCTCTTTATTAAATACCTCCCAGTTCCATCTTGCCTAATATTTGATCCAGCAAGTTTAATGACCATTCCTTCATTAAACATTACAAGCTTTTTAAGACCTTGACAGTGCTGCATTTCATCCTATAACCTAGTGCTGCTACAAAGTCAACATTGTGTGCCAAGTTAATCCCTCGTGTCCACTAATTATGTCCAGTGCTGCAGCTTCTTGGGTGAGCCTGAATCAGTGGGGAAGTGCAGGATTTCCAGGCCAATGGATTCGGCACTCCAGCTATATCTCATGTCTTGACACTAGATGTCAGCGAAGGGTAATTGTTGTCTCAATTTAGAGGCCAGCCTAGGTAGCTGCTAGCAACCTCTGTTAATGTTTTATAGCAAAGGTGAAGTATAGCTTAATACAAGCATCTGACATATATTACAATAAAAAAGGATATAGTTGTCTAGTGTTTTTAAAGTCAGTCATAAAAGATGAATAATGATGCCGTTTAAAGCTAAAAGACAGCTGCCAAGCTGAATGGCTATGATGGATGTCTAAACACCCAGTGTAGAGAAAACCTGTTCCCTAGAGACCACCATCCAAAAAATTAATTACTACGATTCAGCATCTTTAAATGTGCCACTTAATATACTGCCACCATAATTAAATTTCCAGCCCTGTGACCTTGAGACCATTTCCTGAGATAATAAATGAGATCAAGGTTTAATCAATGCAGATGCAAGTAGAAACTGTCCGAGGAAGCACAAAACCATCACAATGTAGTCAAGGTCAGGAAAGAAAAACCAAGTGAAGCTGTGAGTCAACACTAATTGCTTTCTTATGATAAAAGATGTTTATTTTAATTTGCTTTATTTGCAAACAGTTCCATTGTGTACTCTCTGACAGCAGCTTTTAAACTCTAGCCACAGATGAAGTCAGTAGAGGGCATATTTGTCTCCTTGTGTAGATAAGCACTTTCTGTAGCAAGCCATATTTGGTTGCACACTGAGATCTGATAGCTCATCACACATCAAACAATACAGAGACAAGAAACAACTGACTGCCTCAGGTACACTCCTTTCTCTCTGGTGCAAGAAACCAAACAAAAAAGAAGAGACTTTGGGTAGTGATATGGAGATGTGAGGGCTATTTTATGTCCTTTTGAAGTTGGAGTGACACAAAGGGTATGGCCTGACTTCTACTCTTGGACTATATTAAAATGCGAAATCAGATGCTGTATATACATGTACAAGGTGTCTGGTAAATACAGAAGTAGCTGTGTTTATATATAAAACCACCAGAAACATGCAACACCATCTAGTAGAGGACCTATTATTTTGACAGAGGTAAATATTACTGGGGCATTCAACTTAATGAGTTGAAGTGAAAATCTCTGGAACTGAGCCAAATCTCCTTAATTGTATGCTCTTAGAGAAAGTAGAAGCCGCTGATTATGGGGAGGGTCATACACTAAACAAAAATAATGTAACTTTTTGAGACAGCCTTGTTTAGAGGTAACCTTCCTCTAATTCCAACAAGTCTAGAGTGGAAAAAAGTTTGTGTTCTGATATCTGAACCCTCAGAACCTGAAAAAGCATAGAAGTCATCAGTAAGAGACAAGAGACTATGAAACAATGCAGACAGTACATCTTTAAATAATAGTACTTAGACATACTCTTTTGTAAAATAGGTACTAAACAACAATATCAATCTTGTCAACATTAAATAGATTCAATTATGACCACTGTAAATTCCAAGGTGAAACTGTATCTGTTATAATAGAAATAACTTCTATAAATACCTCGAGCAGATCAGGGGGCCTGGTGTGGTATATAGAACCCCAGCAGCGACAGGGAGCTCTGAATTTGCTCCATAGTGAGGCCAATTTTTGGTACAAAAATTTGTATCGAAACCTAAAAAGGACAAAACAAGACAGTCCAATAACCAAGAGCAATTAAAGAATTCCCGTCCCAGAGGAGCTCCACAGCCATGGGGACAGGGGAAATAAGAGCTGCTGCACTGCAGCTTTGGCTTCCCAGAAGGGTTCCAGGGATAACTCCTCAGGCCCTGTTCCCTGAGCACGGAGTCACAGCCCGGTGCTGTCCTGGGACTCCTGAAGGTGCACTGAGGGTGATTAAGACACATCTTCTGGTCAAAGCTGACCAACTACCCTGCAGCAAGGGAAAGTATTGGTAAAACTGTCAGGTCTACAAAGTGATGTAACTAAATCACCTTTAGGACTCAATCCAGCCATAAGCCTAACAGATAAGTAGTAGTAGCCTAGAAAAACAAACAAACAAATCAACTAAACCTCCAAGGTATTACTGTCTTGGAACAAGGTCCTCTGGGGGATGGAGATAGACAGTAGAATTTTACTTGACTGAGGCTGAGACAGTACTATACTGAAAAATCCAACATGTGTTGAAACTTGCACTTGTTTCATCTTCATTTGAATGCCTTTAATTTGGATTCAAAATATCTGCTGAAGTTAACACTTTCAAAATTTCCATGGGCTTTTGTCTACATTCCTGTGTTGGCAGGTCAGCTGGGAAATGCCCTCTCCCCGACTTGAAACTTCCTCCTGTCACTCTGTAAGTACCAGTGAGACCTCTAGAGAATGAAAGTAAGGGGAAACAAAGCCTTAACTCTTAAGTGACAGGCTGCTGCTGTAAATAATGCACTGTTCTAACACATTCCCAGGAAGTCTCATTGCATGACAGTCAGTCTGCCAACACTGGCAGTTCCCATCTTTTCTTATTGAAAGATCTATTTAGATGCATCAAGACAACCTGAAGGCTACTTCTGATAACAACAATGGGCAGTTTTAAAGGAGAACAGGCAACATTTCAATTACAAATTTCTATTTTATTTTTAGCCTAATTTGGGCTCTTTGTGATAAACAAGATGTTTTACATATGCCTAGTAGTAATAATTGATAGTTCATGCTTCTGTGTGTTATACTTGTTAAAATATTTGCATTTAAAAGCAAAGTTGGACTTCTAGCTCTAGGCTATGTATGTGTCTTTCCTAAGGAGTCTCAACTAGAAGAAACATTTTGAATTATAATTGTCTTCCAAATCTCAAATTAAGAGAGACAGAACACTGTTAACCCTTCACTTAGATCACTTAACTATGTGAAAACAAAATGTGATTTAGGAAAGTTTAGTAGAGACCTAGTAAATATTCTGGAATCACTTGACTCTCTCTGTATCCAATCACAAAGATTAGACACATGAGTACAGATTACTTAGGCTGTCAAGGGTTGGAAGATCAGGCCTCAGGTAATTACAGCATCAGAACATTTGTACTTTATGAGGAGATCAGTTTTACACTTAAAAGCTTTATAGCCTGGTTCAGAGAAGCAATTTTACTTGAAACTTTACAGAAAGTAGTAACAGATTATTAAAGAAAGATCCAATGTTCAAAACAGCTGTTGAACTACTCACACAAGCTTTCCTTACCTCCAAAAAGCTGTGTTGAATAGAATGCTTCCTATGTTGGACGTAGGGTGCTTTCCATTGTATGCATGACAGAAATATGAAATACAACGTTTTTCACTGAGGCATCTATAAGAAAGGATATAACATTTGAACAAGACTTTCAAAAGTGACTTGTTACTTTGGGATGTGCATAGGGAAACATTAAGAGTACTCTTCAAGGGGCTGAGGAGATAGAGACATCTGTCTCTGCTGCTCCTTCTCCTCAGGGGGACCACTCCTCACTCACACTCTTCTCCCTTGCTCCAGCACAGGGTCTCTCCCCTAGAACACAGTCCTGCACAAAATTCTCCAACATGAGTCCAATCCCAAGGCTGCAGTTGTTCACATCCTGCTCAGAGTCCCCACAGAGCCCCAAGTTCTGCCACCAAACCTGCTCCATCGTGGGCTGTTCTCCATAGGTCCTGACAGGCTTGGTCCTGATTTCCCACGGAGTCAGGAACCCTGCTCCTTCAGGCACCCTGCTCTGACGTGGTCTCCCTCCAGGGGCTGCAGGTGGATTTCTCCTCCACCATGGACTTCCATGGGCTGCAGGAAAATCTGCTCTAGTGGCTTGAGCCCCTCCACACTCCCCTTTTCTCCACTGAACTTGGTGTCAGCAGAATTTCTCTCCTGTATTCTCACTCATCTCCCCAACTGCAATGGCTGTTGTGCAAGTTTTCCCTGCTTCTGCAATAAACTGTATCCCATCCCCTGTTGCTGACGGGCTCAGCCCTGGCCAGCAGCGGGTGTGTCCTGGAGCTGGCTGGCATCGGCTCTGTCAGACACCGGCCAAGCTTCTGGCACCTTCTGGCACCTCCTCTCAGACACCACTCCTGGAGCCTCCCACCACCACAGCCTTGCCCACAAACCAAATCTGCTGCTCAACCTGACAGAACTCTGCGGCTGCTGTAGAGCTGGCCCTCCCTCTTCCCTCCCACACCTATGCATGCTTTCAACAGATTTTGTGCCAAATCACACCTGTTTTAATCTTTCCTGCTTATTTGCTCTTGGTCAGCAAAAATCATCTAGAAAAAAAATTTAAAATGTGTCTAGAAAAAGAAATGAGAATGATTTAACAACTTGACAGTGGCAAGTTGTGAACTACTTTCTTCTGTAGATACAGAAAATCATATTTTTTGTAAGATCATTTTGAGGTAAAAAATAGTGTAGATTAAATCGTTTGCAATGTTATTCTTTGGTCAAGCAAAAGGACATCAGTGTATATACATCAGGCACTGTATCCAGCTGAGGGCCTTGCCCACAGTGTCCCAATCAAAAAAATGAAGTTTTAATTGGCTTTGAAATACTAAACTGTCCTTGCCAAATATGGGCACCAACATTTTTTGCTGGAATAAGAGACTTTTTATTAATAGATTCCTTTTTCTCATCCTCCACTGAAGATGAGAGAACTAAGTGCTTACAGTGAAACAGTAGGGAGGCTTATTAAATCAATACACATCTGTTAGATAATGGGCTCTAAGTCAAGAATGTTATTCTGAAAACCTCTCAGCAAAATGCTGCTTGTTTGGCACTGTTTTCTTACAGCTATTCCCTCGTTGAAGAATCCCCTCCAGAGCTGACCATCTATTTTGTAATGTTCAGTTCCTAACAAGCGTGTCCACACATCTCTGCCAAATGGAAAGGATTCTCCAAAAATCTCAGGCAATATTCTCAATTATGCCAGCAAGTGACAGCAAGAGGCTGTGAAGTTTAAATCTCTTCATCCCTCAACAGAAGGTTAAGGCCTTAAGAACACTATGTTAGCTAATGGGAACCAAAAAATCCCCTATACCAGTTGTAATATACTGTGAACAATTTGTAATGACATCTTGAAATATGATAAAATTAGACATAGATATATATCAACACACAAATATAAAATATATTAATGTATTAAATATATATTATATGATACATGCTCCTCAATTAAAAATACTTCACTTGCACATCTGTTTGAACATGTGGGCCGTTCGTGTGTGTGATCAGCATCTCTCAGCTCAGTCAGCAGACACTGTTCCTAAGCATTCCACCTCTCTCTTATAAAGCCTCTCTACAAGAGTCACTTCCCAGGCTGTGTGTGCATACTCATCTTTTTTCTGTCTTGCTTATTTTTGGTGCAAAATGTGTGAGGCAAAGATCGCCCCTTGCAGTACCTATGAACAGCTCAGCAATTTCATTCAGAGTCCCTGGGCATTATTGTAATAAATCTGAGTAAAATAATATTTACCCGGTTAGAGATGGGTAAACATTTTACTTTTACCATCCTAAAATAAGCACACCTCAGTTCCTAGCTGGTGTGTCTGTACTACTTAAGAATGGAACAATAAAGAAACTTTAAAATTAACATATATTTAATGATGCAATTGTAATGAAGAGAAGCCTGTGCAAATTGTAAAGCAAGATGCTCTGAAAAAAATGGCAGGGAATGCAGATATCAGCTTATGCTTGTGACACTTCACTCACCCATGGCATTTTATTTCCATGATAAGCACATATTTGGCTGCTTCTGTAATACTTGAATTTGTGTTTTACAGTGTGCAAATGTTTTTCCTGTAGCAGGAAAACATAAATGAAAAATGTACATGGAAGGCTGTCACCTACAGACTCACCATGGTAATTCCTCATACAGTGGCTTCAGTGGTAGCACTGAGCATGGGCAGAAAAACATAAGGGATGGCTGATGTTTGCACACTAAACAGTGTGAATCATAACGTGATATCAATATTAATCTATCCCTTATAAAATGTTAAGGCCTTTTCATTTAATGAATAAGATGCTGCACAACAATAATCTGTACTTTTCCAAATTAGCCACAAACCATCTGGTTTCTCTCCAATTACTTCATTTTTTTTTTCTATATCTCTAAATGTTACTGACCTAAAACAGATTTCATCAAAGGCGGTAGGAATCCTAACCCCTCTAGCAACTATTAAATTGGTCCACTCTGTGTCCTGTGCTGACAAATCATTATACTCCAGAGCCTTACAATCCATGGTAGTATCTCAATTAGGGATAAAGATGAAGCAACAGCGTTGCAAATTCATCCATCCATCTAAATGTATTCTTAAATAAAACAAAACAAAAAAATCAATATACAGGGATCCCTAGTCGGTCATTGCTAAGTTCACCCATAACAAAACACTGTTTCTGCAGTAAACAAACCAAGTGGTTTCAAAACAACAGTTTAAAGTTATGTACAGTGTCCTGCCTAAGTTTAATGACATTGGAAACAGCACAGTCTTCCTCTTTCTTTTGTTTTCTTCCATTTTGCATTGCACAAAAGTGTAGCTTTTAATTTAATTTCATTCTGATTTTTAACTTTATTTTAATTTAGAGTTTACCTTGGCAAGTACTATGCTTAATGAGTGAGGTCAGAGGTAATACATTCTGAAATTCAGGGTATCCAGAAAACAATCGTGAATTACTGAAAAAAAATCTGCTAAATTATTCTATTGATTTCTTAATTTTTGTTAACTGACCAGCCTAGTATAGAGAGAAGAGTCCAGCTCAGCCCTTCCATTTCCAATGCTAAAACTATTCCCAAATGTGTCATAAGGCCCACAAAATTTATTACCTTTGGCACTAAAACACTGATATCATGTGCCAACTGTTCAAGAGATTTCAAGTAAACTTGGAAGTGAAACAAGAAATTTTTTTTGTCTTTTAATAGGCAAATATACATGTGGCTGAGCCATGCTTTCTAATGCTGAACAAGAATGACCAAACAACAGTAACTATTCTGCTTTTGGTGGCTCTTTTAAAGGCTAAATTTCAGTATGCTGGAAGTAGGCTCTTGAGGCAGCAGAAGCTGTTGTGGAGAAATGGAGAAATTTGTGCCATTTCTGTCATTCCAATTTCCTGATTTTAGAAATCCAGTCTATTAGAGGCAGCAGCCACTAAACGGCTGCAATTACAGAATCCTCAGTTAAGAAAAATAAGCAAACCCATTTCTTCTCAGAACAGCATTTGAGTTGACTCTAACTAAAAGAAGAAGAAAGAAATGCAAAAAAAAAAAAAAAAAGGCACAAATGCAGTGGGACCTGTGCCATCTGAGCAGGCAGTCTCTCTGGAGGTACAACGAGCACTTCCACTATACTGCAGGTTTTCTGGTGTGTGGTGTCATTGGTACAATAGCACTTTTTTACTTGTGGAAACATTTAAAGGATGTTAAATACATCTATGTCTCACTACTAAATCATTTGGCATCTGCTGGAACAGTCAGGAAAATATCTGGCAGTATTTTTGCACTCCCGTTTATTACAGCATGTGAACTTAGACTACAAGAAATTCTCCTTTAGGCAACAACATTCTCATTTGTCTCTGTATTTGGGATACTGGGAGCCAACCAGTAGAAACTACTTGCAGTGACAGCTTTTCCACATTGCTTTGGCATCATCATCCCCCACTTGTCTAGGCTAAAACAATCAAGATTTTAAACACAAAGTCACTCCCTGGATGGGCTCCATAGGCAGCTAGATCCCACAACTCCCTGGGTACTTTGAACTTGTTGAGATGTTCAATATATTTACTGGACTTAGATTCTGTTTTAATGAATCTTGAGACAATGCTGAAGATACCTTAATAATTTTATAGCTTCCTGAACTCAGATGCTTATAATAAAGTGTGTAATTTACCTATTTCTCCTTATCTTACAGGTGCCTCAATGAACACAACTATTGCAAATTAAATTTGAAACAGTCAGTCTGTCATCCAACAGTGGGAATTTTCTGCTTATGTTTTACCAGTATTTTCAATTTAGCCATCAAGTTTTTGTTTCGAAGAACTTAGCAGATCCCACACACACATTAACTTCAGTAGGAGACCAAGTGCTGATCTAATTACTAACTAATCTGATCTAATTACTGACAAGCTGTCAGTCTAGGAAGGTTAGGTGACTGCAGGTATAGTTATTTCCAGTAGCTCTATCCTTTTGAAATAAAACAGAAGTTGAGAGAAAACATTATCTTTAGATAATTCCAATATCAGGGTGCAGCTAGCTGCCCACCCCAGCCAGTGGCATTTCATGAATTTCAAGCCATGACTACTTGAATGAACCACACACCATTCTGTTAGCTTGGCACTCCTAA